TAATAATATTACATTGGAATTATTTATCAATATGGCGATGAGAACACTTTTTAAACACAAAAAATAAATTCCAATCTACGTTTGATCAGAAACTCACCTCGTTAGGTTATAATTTAGGAATTGCTCCCAAATGAATTATTTTTCATTTAATATCGAAGAAAATTTGAAAATCCAAATAAACAGCGTGGAATAAATTCTGCAAAATTTCATTAACTTCGAGAACGCAAAAGTCCATGACAAAACGGCTTAACTGTTTAAAGTCTGTGTAAAACGGCATTTAGGCGTTGTGATGCAAAAAAAGAAAAAAATCCACAATATTTCGCAACTATTGTCACACAAAACTAAATTATTTCAATTTTGAAATAGTTTTATTTCAAAAGTTCTTCATTTGTCAATTCAATATTTTACACTTGGTATTGAAACAGTTTTATTTTATGATCACTGGAATAATTTTAGCGTTTCATAAAGCAATGCAAAAAAAACTGGCACAAGGAGTAAAAGAGATTCCTAGCTTGTACTATGTGGTGAAGTCACAAAATTTAAACTGAAATTAATTTCCTAAATTCCTTCTAAATGCTTGTTCAACATGCTCGTGTCCTATTTTACATTTCACTTGACTTGTCATTATCTCTCTCTGTTGTTAACTCCCAGATTGTCTCTCTGAATATTGTGCTCAGCATCAGTTAGGACTTTTGTTGTTGCTTTGAAAAGTACACAAAGAAATAGAAAACAGTAACGGTCCCCCAAGGTTCACTGACCGGTGAACGTGATCAGTAGCCAAACACAACAGCTACGGAGAAGATTATTTGTTTTGTTTTGGCACATGATGCAAGAGGTGAAATGTAAACAGTTTGAAAGGCACTGTGTGGGGGAAAGAGAGATTTACGAACTCTTCGATTTTTGGGCAAGTGCATCACATACTCTTAGAAATGCAAGAGAATATGATGAAGACGTTAGTGTACTGTTAATATATGATTGAAAAGTTCGAAAATTTAAAAAGACAATTTGTATTTCTGTTATCATTTTATGCCTTTCACCAAATTTTGCCTTTTTGCAATGTCACGAAATCACTGGGAATCCAGAATTGGATTAGTATACCCTCCATCATGAAAAGTAGGGTATATTAACATTGTCATTCCGTTTGTAACATCCTCAAATATTCGTCGTAGACCCCATAAAGTATATATATTCACAATCAATATAAAATTCTAAGTCGATATAACGTCTGTCTGTTGAAATCACGATGCAGTCAAGATTATTTGACGTAGATTTTGGCACAACAATTTGCTTTGTGTTTTGGATACTTGGTATTGAAAATAAAATATATTTATTGGTCCAAGTTCGGTATTTTGATGATTTTAGCAACAGTATTCAACGGATTTTTTTTTTTTTTTTTTTTTTGAAATTTCTTATTTGGAGTTTGGAATGGGTACTTTAACCTACGACGAAATATTGTCTATGTCCACGTTTCGCATAGCTCCCATTTAACAATAACTCCCGATATACTGTAATTTGATAATTTTGGTATTTTGATAATTTTTTAGTTGGAAGTTTCTAAGAGGTACTACCATCCATGACTAAAAATTGCTCAAGCTGGCCCATGTTCACATACAACAATTTTCATTTTAGATGTATTTTTCGACGGATTTTATTTTTGTTTAGTCTTTAAAGTTCCTTCCCAATAATGGAAGGTAAAAAAATATAACCTCTGTAGACATGTGACTGAGGCATGGCATAAAAAGATTATGTTCGGCCGAGCCGAAACATTCAAGATCCTATACTATTAAGTAAAAAAAACCATTGGGTGGGTGGATTCATTATATGGGGGATATACCAAGTCGGGAAACTCTATGGACCATTTTATACTCTCCACCATTTTAGCTCCTCGAATAATTCATAATATACCCTACGAAGTATAAATTCTGGATCAGCGAAAATCTCTAAGACGATCTAGCGATGTCCGTCTGTCAGTCTATTGTAATCATGATATCATTCGAACGAATTGTGATATAAGGCTAAGCAGGTTAATATCGTTCGGACATGTCGTTCCACGTCTTCGTATAGCCCCCATACAACGGTACCTCCCGATATTCGACATTTTAATGATTTTAGCGACATTATTCACTGGAACTGTTTAAAATGTCATATTTGAAGTTCGTAATGGGTACTACAGCCCATGACAAGAAATTTCGTAAGCAGATCCCGTCTTCGTATCAGCTTTCGAAAATAAACAGTATGGTACTGTACCGTAGTTCCGAGGTGGAGTGGTACAACCCTTAAAAATATTTTAGTGATACTGTACCGGAGCACAACGAGAATCGTGCTGTTCCGCAGTCGGAGCACTAACAAGTAAGAAAGCAGTAAGTTCGGCCGGGCCGAACTTAAAACCCTCCACCATTTGGAACGAATTAGGACATTTTCAAAACAAAAAAAAAAAAAAAAAATAAATAAATAAATAAATAAATAAAAATAAAATAAATTCCATTAAAAATTCTTTAAAAAACCTAATATCGGAATACTTAATATACGATATCGTGGACCTATAAAGATAATTATCTTCCAAGGCATAAAGTACCCACAAGGAACTCCTTGCGTGGATTTTCAGACAATTCCGTTGAAAAATGTGGCTGAAATCGTCAAAATACCGAATATCGGGGGGTACCTTTATAAGGGGATATACGATATCGTGGACCTATGTAGACAATCCTCTTTTAGGGAGTAAAGTACTCACAAAGAACTCCTTGTGTGGATTTTCAGACAATTGCGATGAAAAATGTGGGTAAAATCATCAAAATACCGAATATGGGGGGGTACAGTTATATGGGGGATATACGATATAGTGGACTTATATAGAAAATTCTTTTTGAGGGGGTAAAATGATCACAAGGGACTCCTTTTGTGGAATTTCAGACAATTCCATTGAAAAATGTGGCTAAAATCATCAAAATACCGAATCCCGTGGGGGTACCGTTATATGGGGGCTATACGATATTGTGGACCTATATAGATAATTCTCTGCCGAGGTATAAAGTGCAACATAAAGTGCCGAGAGATCTGTGCAACATTTTAGCTTCCTATCTTAATTTGTTTAGACTGTAGCGTGATTACAACAGACGGACAGACGGACGGACGTACAGACGGAAGGACAGGGCTAAATCGTCTTGGAATTTTACGCTGATCATGATTATTAAAATGATTATTTCGATGAGTTACAAACGGAATAACGAACTTAATATACCCTCCATCCTTTTTTTGGTGGAGGGTATAAAAACAGTAAGTTCGGCCGGTCCGAACTTTCAATAAGCTCCACCATTTGGAACGAATAAGGACATTTCCACAAAAATAAAATCCACCAAAAATTCTCTTAAAATCTTAAAATACCGAATATCGTAAGGTGCCGATATATTGGAGGGATATACCATATTGTGGACCTATACTGAAAAATCTATGTCTGGGGGTAAAGTACTCACAATGAACATCTTGTGTGGAATTTCAGGCAATTCCATTGAAAAATGTGGCTAAAATCATCAAAATATCGAATATCGGAAGGTAGCGTAATAGACAATTCTCATTCAGTGGGTAAAGTGCTCACAAGGAACTCCTACTGTAGAATTTCAGACAATTTCATTGAAAAATGTGGCTAAAATCATCAAAATACCGATTATCGTGGGGTACCGTTATATGGGAGCTATAAGATATCGTAGACCGATATAGCCCATCTTCGAACTTGACCTGACTGCAGACAAAAGACAGATCTGTGCAAAATTTTAGCTTCCTATCTTAATTCGTTTTGACTTTAGCGTGATTACAATAGACGTACGGATAGACAGGTCTATACAGGTCTTAGATCAAATCGTCAAGATCAAGAACATATATATTTGTTGGGTCTAAAATTATTATTTCGATGAGTTAAAAAACGTAATGACGAACTTAATATACCCTCCATACTATGTATGGTGGAGGGTATAAAAACACTTCATAGCTAAAATGATCAGAATATCGAATATCGGGAGGTAACGTTATATGGAGGCCGTACGAAATTTATTATGTCAAATTTTAAAGCTGTATGTCATTTAACAGGGCTGTATCTTGATTACGACAGACAGGCGCACAATAATAGTACTGAAGAATTTTGACAATACTGACATGTACACACGATTTGTGGTCATATTTAGCTAAATTCGTTTAAATTTGACTTTCTCCGACTCATCGCATCGTGCTTTGATGGCTGGTATTCTGGTAAGTTATTGTATTTTTCATGATTCGTTTCACTGGCAAACATCTTCATTTTTGGTATATAATTTAATCATTAATCGTCTTAAAAAACGTTATACACTTGCAAATCATTGCAGTTTAATATCAAAATGCTTGCTCTGATAAGAAAAGCAAATCGTGCGCTTCTTGTGTTCAGCAACAAAGTTAATTTTTGGCTCAATGGGCACATTAATATGTAGAATTGTCGATTTTGTAGTGAAGATCAGCCAGAAGTATTGCAAAAGCTACCTATGCATCCAGAAAAAGTCACAAATGTGGTGCGTTTTATGGGCTCGACTTAAATGGCGTGTGATTTCAACAAGACGGTGCAACATGTCATACTTATTGAACGGCGAGTTCGGTGAACAAGTATTTCAATATGGGACTGGCCTTCAGACAGTACAAAAATACAAAAGTTAATATTGAAACTCCTAGGAATTTCAAATAAGTTCTGGAGATGTTGTACATGGTGAACAACTTTTAAATATTCTCTATTCCTTGGTAATTTTATTCAATCCAGACAAAGATCCCGCAAATAATATTCCTATGTGTAATTTAATAAGTTCCTTTTTTATATAATGGTAGAAAATTTCTGTCAAAGGTTTTTCGCATATTGGCAACACTTTTAAATTAATTAACATTTGTCTCCCTTCATTTCCACTCAATAACAAAATAATTTCTCTGAGAAATTTATCGAACTAACTCATAGATCATTATCACATTATTTTGGCGGGAAATATACTCACCACTTGCAGAAATTTGTTTTTGTTCGAAATTACAAAATCGTATGTTGTTAACAAAAGAAACAAATAATTTGAATAAATAATAAAAAAACGACGCGAAACGGTTTCAGTCCAAAAAAAAAAAAAAATAAATTACGTAGAAATATTAAAAAAAACACAAGAATTTGTTCGAGGAAAAGTCGTAACGAAAACGTAAAATATTTACACGCGAATAATAAACCAGTCAATGGGAAAAGCGGTGGGGAGAGAAAAACACTTGAAGTGCAGTCAATTAAAAAAACGATTTACATAAAATAAATAGTTTACGTCAAATTTGGTCAATTTAATTAAAATAAAAATTAGTGAGGATAACCTAAAGAGGGAAGCAAGCTAGACAACTAACTTCTTCCAAAAGCAAATACAGGGGATTGGGGAAAGGTTAAATAAATTAAGTGTGGATTTTGCAAAAGGGGTCAAATAAAAGTCAACGCGATTAAAAAAGAACAAGATTTTGTTAAATATATATTTTTTTCAGTCAGTCTTGGCACAATTATTTTTTTGTTTCGAATTATTTTTGGTATTAATTTATTAGATTTTATATTATTATTTTGTATATTATTTGATTTTTTTATATTTTTTTGGTTGAAACTTAAATATTTTTTCTTGATGCACAAATAAAGGCGGCAAATTAAATTTCTCTCCTTTGGTGCGCTATCAATGAGTGACCGATGGATGTTGCGAGCGATAGCGGGTTTAGTTAATCACTGAAGATCATCGGCATTAGCAATTCCACAAATTGTTATTCGCTTTCAATGCAATTCATTGATGATTTGTTTTTGCACAAATTTTGTTTGTTTTTCTGAATTAACGGTTTTTGGGAATGAAACATTACAAACAATAAGAATTTACTACCTACAAAGTGTGGTGAAATTGTGGTAATTGTCGGGGAAGTGTACATATTGATCACATTCCGAAATCTATTGGTATTGACAAAGTAAGTTCCAAAGTTTTTCCATTTTAATTCACTTCTTCTGTAATCGAGTAAAAGAAGTCGAAAGTGTTTTTTTGAGGATCGTTATTTTGTCATTTTGTCAACCGTACATTCTACATTACTTCACAATGTATACACCTGTTATAGTGCTGCTGTAGGACAACTGATTAATCGCTTTGAACATTGGGACTGCAACTTCTAGTTGGCAGTAATATTTTACGATTTTTTTTTTTTCATATTTTTCAAATTTGATTTACAATATTTAATCGTGTATTTTGTAATATTTTTGCACCTTACAACAATATGTCATCAACACCCAAAAACATGACATAGGGCGTAAAAATAGGTAAAAATTTGTGTGAAGTCGGAGTTTTGGTTTAAAGCACAGATAAAACTTTTGGAGCACTATGCGACATTTTTTCAAGAATAAAATGAAAATAAAATGTTCGATTAGCCTGAAAAAAAAAAATCAAGAAAAAATAGATATGTGATGTTTCATAGAGGAATCTTCATTTTAGTAAAAAAGGAAACTGAAACTTTACCGCGAATTGTAGTGGCGCGCTTTTTCACCCTCTCAATATTCGCTATTCTGATGATTTTTGCAACATTCTTCCACGAAATTGTTGCAAATTTGGTATTTAAGAATTGTTGCAAATTTGGTATTTTTAAGTTAAAAGAATTATCCAAACGGTCACGTTTGAATTCAGATATTTTATATAAAAATATTTCCTTAACCCAAAGGTGGAGGGGATTAAAAGTTCGGACCGGCCGAACTTAATGTTTGTTATGATTAGCATCGCACTTATCACCAGAATTAACTTAAATTTAGATTTCTCAATGTGTACAACTTCCTATGACAGAAAGTTTCCAGCACAGATCATTGTCTTTGTATAGCCCCCACGGTACCTTCCACTATTCTAAATTTTAAGAACATTTTTAAATAGATTTATCTCAAACTGGGTATTTGGAGTTCTCAATAAGTACCGCATTCTCTGGCAGATGATAGGCTATGGAGGCTAGGAAGGTCTACGTTTTTGTTTATACCTCATATAACGATACATCTAGATATTGTTTTTATACCCTCCACCATACTATGGAGGGTATATTAATTTTGTCATTCCGTTTGTAACTCTTCGAAATACTCATGTCAGACCCAACAAAGTATATATATTCTTGATCAGCGTACAATTCTAAGACGATTTAGCCATGTCCGTCTGTCTGTCTGTCTGTCCGTCTGTCTGTCTGTTGTAATCATCTCATCTTTCCAACAAATTGAGGTAGAAGGCTAAAATTTTGCACAAATGTATATTTTGCCAGTAGGCAGGTTAATTTCGTAAATGGGTCATGTAGGTCCACGTTTTCTTATAGCCCCCATATAACGGTACCTCCCCATATTGGGTATTTTGATGATTTTAGCGACATCATTCACCGGAATTGTTTCAAATTTGGCTCTTGAAGTTCGTAATGGATACTACAGCCTAAGACAGAAAATTATCTGTGCAAGTCCACGTCTTCGTGTAGCCCCCATGTAACGGGTACCCACCGATATTCGGTATTTTGATGATAATAGCGACATTGTTTACCGGAAATGTTTCAAATTTGGCATTTGAAGTTCGTAATGGATACTACAGCCTAAGACATAAAATTATCTGTGCAGGTCCACGTCTTCGTGTAGCCCCCATGTAACGGTACCCACCGATATTCGGTATTTTGATGATATTAGCGACATTGTTTACCGGAATTGTTTCAAATTTGGCATTTGAAGTTCGTAATGGATACTACAGCCTAAGGCATAAAATTATCTGTACAGCTCCACATCTTCATATAGCCCCCATATAACGGTACCCCCCGATATTCGGCATTTTGATTATTTTAGCGACATTATTTAACGGAATCGTTCCAAATTTGGTATTTGAAGTTCGTAATAGATACTGCAGCATAAAACAGAAAATGGGCCATGTAGGTCCACGTCTTCGTAAAGCCCCCATATAACGGTACCTCCAGATATTCGGTATTTTGATGATTTTAGCGACATTATTTACCGGGATTGTTTCAAATTTCGCATGTGAAGTTCGTAATAAATACTTCAGCCCATGCCAGAAATTGTCTGTGCAGGTTCAAGTCTTCGTATAGCCTCCATATAACGGTACCCCCATATTCGTTATTTTGATGATTTTAGCTACATTATAAACAGATTTTTCTTCAAGTTTCGCATTTAAATATTGTAATAACTTATGATAGAAGTTTCCTGTGCAGGTCCATGTCGTCGTATAAGCATTTGGTATTTTTAAGATTTTAACAGAATTTTTAACGGATTTTATTTTTTTTTGTGCCCTACACCACAAGGTGGTCAGGGTATTATGTCTTTGTGCATTTGTTTGTAACAGGCGAGATAGACCCATAGTTCCTTTTGATAATCTGCATAGAATTACATTCTGAGTCGATTTATGCATGTCCGTCCGTCCGTCTGTCCATGTATTTTTGTAAACAAAGTACAGGTCGCGTTTATTGCACGATCCAGACGAAATTTTGCAAAGATCATTTGTTTGGCCCAAGGACGAACCCTATTGAAATTGGAGATAATCGGTCTAAATTTAGATATAGCTCCCATATATATCTTCGTCCGATTTGCATTTTATTGTGCACCAAACGTGTAATATCAGCCCGAATTGTATGCATATACACCCAAATTAGGCCTGAAAATATGTATGCCAAATTTGATCGAAATCGGTTCAGATATAGCTAAAGCTCCCATATATAATGTTCATCCGATTTGTTATTTTTGTCCACCGCCGCCGTAATATGCACTATGCAACAACAATATTTGAGGGAATATATCAAATACAGCTCAGAAATACATTTGCTAAATTTTATCGAGATCGGTTCAGATTTGGATATAGCTCCCATATATACCTTCGTCCGATTTACATTTTATTGTGCACCAAACGTCTAATATTTGTCCAAATGGGATGGAATTTGGCACTTACGACCGATTTGAGTCTAGAAGCTAGTATTTCAAATTTGGTGTGGATCGATTCAGATATAGCTATAGCTTCCATATATATTATTCATCCGATTTGTTATATTTGTTACCCACAACCGTAATATTCACTCCGTAACAACGTTATTCAGGGAAATATGTCAAATACAGCTCAGAAATACCTTTGCCAAATTTTATCGAGATCGGTTCAGATTTGGATATAGCTCCCAAATATATCTTTATCCGATTTCAAATTAACTGTGCACCAAATGGGCAATACAATTCCGAATTTAAAAGATACAAATGCTTCTGCATATTTAGTCCTTTGAACTTTAAATTATAATTATAATCATAGCGTGTATGATTGAATTCTCCCATAAAAACGTTTAATTGTTATGTGGAGCTCTACTTAATTAGCAAAGTGGTGTAGGGTATCATAAAGTCGGCCCCGCCCGACTTAAAGACTTTATTTACTGGTTTTTTTTATACCCTACACCACAAGGTGGTCAGGGTATTATGTCTTTGTGCATTTGTTTGTAACAGGCAGAAGGAAACGAGATAGACCCATAGTTCCTTTTGATGATCTGCATAGAATCACATTCTGAGTCGATTTATGCATGTCCGTCCGTCCGCCTATCCGTCCGTCTGTCTGTCCGTCCGTCCGTCTGTTCATGTATTTTTGTAAACAAAGTACAGGGGCCAAATCACCGCATTCGTCATCGAGTTCTGTTTCGTATAGAGAAACATTTCGATCGCTGTAAATTTTTGGATCACCGCATTCGATCGCAAATTAGTTTGCCTACTACTTTTTTTGCATTGCTGTAAACATATGGTAATAAGAAATTGGAAGCTAAAAAGAATTTCAAAGTAAGTTTTTGCGATCAAAATATGTTATAAGAAATTTATATTGTTTCTGTGTGTTTAAATACGTGTGTATAAATATATTATGAATGCAAGTGTTTTTTCGTATTTTTAATCGCATGCGATTTTTTCATTTTGACTTATAATATTGAAGAATACATTTTGTAATATTTTTTCATTTTACTACACATTATATGCAGATTGCAATTATCCTCACGAAGAAGTGTAGGTTAGGCTCAGAAGGGTTAGGCCTATTGTTTTCAAAGATGTCCGCAATATATTTAGGTTTGAAATGAACCAACAACTAAAAATGTTCCCGATTTTGTAGCCGTTACAAAGGCCACAAATATAATCCAAAGGACACGAAGTCTCCATGAAGTTAGAGTTTAGGACAGCGGGTTGAATGGACCACTATTTTTGTGTGAAAAAATACCATACAAATATCGTAGACAAGCAAATCATATAGATGAGTCTAAATTTGGAGATACAGAGGAGCCTCTTGCTTTTGGAGATGAACGCAAAATAGTTAGGGGTTCAAATGAACCAAAAAGAGAAACTAATTCCTGATCACACAATTGAAGCCAATCGCTACGCCTGAGAAACGCGATATCTTCCAAAATGGATTTGGACATAAGGGGGCTTCTAACATATTATAGTGTATCACATGGTCGGCCCCGCACGACTATAGTCTTTGTTTACTTGTTTTATTTAAAATAGAATAAAACTGACACTTTCACCAAC